CCCTCTCAATAGCTTTCTGCTCTGCCCCCTCCTGTAGCTCTCAGCAGCCCACCTGTAACTCGCTGCCCCACCCTCCTGCTGATCCGTGATCCGGTTGTTAAGCAGTCAGTTGTTACGCTTCATGGCGTAACAACCATTTGCATATTACATATTTATTATATAGGATAATTTGTAGATTCCCAAAAAAAGAGATTTGAATTATAAGTTATTAGCTTTCTGCTCTGCCCCCTCCTGTAGCTCTCAGCAGCCCACCTGTAACTCGCTGCCCCACCCTCCTGCTGATCCGTGATCCGGTTGTTAAGCAGTCAGTTGTTACGCTTCATGGCGTAACAACCATTTGCATATTACATATTTATTATATAGGATAATTTGTAGATTCCCAAAAAAAGAGATTTGAATTATAAGTTATTTATAGCAAATTCCTATTTGAGAACTTTATTATTGATTTGTTTCTGCAAATAAGCATGTCTCCTCTTTAATGGGTCACAATACCATTCCTTTATAGTTATAAGTTTCTGAGGTAACATGACATTTCTAGCTGTCAAAGTTATAGGCCTATTGTACAACTATTTCTGAATCTCAGGTCATTAGAGTTAAATTACATTCTGTGTGAATAATATGTGAGCCTGGTTCTCCCATCGTGAAGGCTCACTATGGATATTCATGAGGTTATTTCAAAGTTAATAACGAAGACAAAGTGGCAACTGTAGAAGGAAGAATAGCTCTGGAGAAGATGACTTCAGTCCTGCCACCATATTTCCAAAGCCTTCAAGTGGTTGTATTAATTGGAGTAAGGTTCTTGATCACTGCCATCTTCAACTTTAAATATAATTTAGGAAATGGTAGATTTAGAAGAAAAAATCTGAAACAAGTGCATTACTTTCCTTTTGGTTTCAGAGTGCTAAGATATTAATGCCTGTATTTAGGAATAAGGAACCATTGTACTGCTAGTATGATGAAATGGACTTTTATAATGTATCATTATTGATTATAGTAAACTAAAGATTTTATTTTTCTATGTATTTAACATTTTATGTACAGTGTAAGTCAGAAACAATTTAAATTTGATTTGAAAAGGAATCCTTTATGGGATCACTGAAACTTTAAAAATATACATATATACTTTTAAATACATTTTTATTGATTTCAGAGAAGAGAGAGGGAGAGAAAGATAGAAATATCAATGATGAGAGAGAATCATTGATCAGCTGCCTCCTGCACACCTCCTACCAGGGATTGAGCCAGCATCCTGGGCATGTGCCCTGACTGGGAATCGAACTGTGACCTATTGGATTATAGGTCGACACTCAACCACTGAATGACACTGGCTGGACTGAAACTATTTTCAAATGGGTGAACCAAGTTTGTGACTTAGCAGCTTTTTATTAGGTTGAATCTTTGCATTTATTGTTGATTTGGACTTATAAGACTAGTTTCTACTCTTTATAAATATAGCTAACAAACAATACAATAAAATAAAAAATAAATGTAGCTAACGTACGAAGCATATTCATGAGGAGAGTTTATTATACCTAGAAAACTAAAAATTCGAAAGTGAGGTCATCCAGGTTTCCCCCCTAAAAATATTTTTACATATGTCATAAACGTTAGATGATTTATTGGATTACGCTTACCCATATATTTTGAATTAATGTAGCTTGCAGATTGCGTGTTACTTATGCTTTACAAATAACAATTAAAAATAACAAACTGAATAGCAAATAGTTTATTAGTAAGTACATGGTTTCAGTGGCAATAATAACTTTACTTAAACAGGAGGCAATAATCAAATCAAAAGAATAAATGTTGGCTAATCATCAGAAAATCTGTGGCCATTAGGGCTATCACGTAGAAATCCAAAATCACTCAGAGGCCAAATCTATAAAATCAAAATTGATTGAAAACAATTAATGAAAGTGATGTTATATCGTCATATTCCTTTTTATTTCATTCATCCTTTTTCTCTATGCCATGCAACTAAACACTTTCTCTGTATTCTTCACTCAAGAACAAATTTCCTACATCAAAATAAGACTTTAGAAAGTAAATTTATATGTCTATGTATTTAAACTCTAACATGGGTTTGAACTGCATGGGTCCAATTATGCACAGATTTTTTTTTTTCAATAAATATACAGTTAGCCCTCCATGTGCCTGGGTTTCATAGCCACGGATTCAGCTAACAACAGATTAAAAACATTATTTTCCATCCATGGTTGGGAATCTGTGGAAGCAGAGGGGCAACTGTATGTATTGTTCTATGTGATTTTACATAAGGGACTTGAGCATCCACAGATTTTGGTGTCTGGGGATTTTCCTGGAACAAATTCCAGATACTATATATAAGTTTGGGGGGAGTTAAAAATTATATGTAAGTCAATGCCCCTAACCCCCAAGTTGTTTAAGGGTCAGTTGTATATATGTGTGGGTGTGTGAGCATGTGTGTGTCTGTATTTTCTTTTACTGCCCTCAAAGTTAACTGTAAATCTAAGTACTTGAGTATATGCTTAAGTGTAAAGAATCCTGTAAATTACCCCCAAGTATTCCTGTCTGTGTTTTCCCTTACTGATAGTGAGAAAAAAGAGGAGCCAGTAAAAACAATAATCTTTCCTAAGAATCATAAATTTACTACAACATTGATAAGTCCATTCCTCACTGTACTTAACTAAGATATCCCTGCACTGCAGATATTTTGACTCTACACTGCTCTTCTGCAAGTGCACATTAATATAGAGTATCCGCCCAAAATGTATACACACACTTTGAATAATTATAAGGCAGTGTTTATTAAAATGCATTTCATTTTCAAAATTGACCTATCAGCTGTTAAAGTGTGTATACAATTTGTGGGATCATGCTGTATATTCCCAGGATATTAACATGGTTGTAAAAATACAGGAGAGAAATTTTTGAAGGTTCAAATTAAAGGCTGCTTATGCTACAAACAAAAGTAGCTTGAGTTTTATTATTCAAACAAAAATATTCTCGATTACCTGTCCCAATAGGGGGAAGGGGTAGTTTTTATAGCTATGAAAGCTAACATTTTCACTACTGTTACTGTAACAGGCAAGTCCACTAACAGCCTAAAGAGTTCAGAGTCCATTTTGAAAGAAAATGTTTTTTTCCCCCTCAGCTCAGATAAGAAGGCCTACATTTTAAGTAGAAAACAGTACCTTAAAGAAGATCCGTCCTCTTATTAGTCCATATGGAATAGGTCCATAGGACCTGGAATCTGTAGAATTCTGTAAATTATCACCTTCTAACCAAACATGGCCCATTGGCACCTGGAATTAGAGAAGAAAGCAGCCCCTTTAAAAAAGAAAAAAACAAATTTGGGTACTGTCAATAAAAAGTATCTTGTGCAGGTAAGGAAAAATGTCCTAAAGTTGTCTTTTTATACAATACATATAAACCCTATGATTTCATTTTTGCACAATAAAATAATGTTTACTAAATATTAGTAACATTATAGTTTCAAATTAATTTTTAAACATGTTTTTATTGATTTCAGAAAGGGATAGAGAGATAGAAACATCAACACTGGGAGAGAATCTGATCAGCTGCCTCCAGCATGCCCCACATGGGATCAAGCCCACAACCCAGGCATATGCCCTTGCTGGGATTTGAACTGTGACCTCCTGGTTCATAGGTCAACACTCAACCACTGAGCTACATTGGCCGGCAGGTTTCAACTTTTTAAATGCCCATCTTTTTTGCCACATGGTTCCCCAAAATTAATTTGTTATACAAACCCCACACTGAGGTTATAAGAGATCAAAACAGTGTGACAGGGTCATTAATTTAATAGACTTCAAAAGAGGTCATTAGAATGCTGACTGAAAATGTGCCCTCCTGTCTCCGTAAAAGCATAAACAGGGTAGCCACTCATTCTGCAACATCCTGGGGCCAATAGCAAGGCCAGACTTATTAGAATGCTCATGATGAGCTAAATGGTAATTGATTGTGACATCAATTACAAATAATCTCATCATTTTATTGGAGTGGGCTTGTCAGAATTCTAATTAAGACCCCTGTTCTGCCTTGTACAGGCCATATCTTCAATGCATTATATTTCAATAATGACCATGAAGACCTAGAAGGAACTATTATAAAACCATCAGTTGTAAAATTAATGATGGTGACCCTCTACTAAAATGAAAAGACCCAAGTTCCTATATGTCCTGTGTATTAACATAAGCCTAAATTTTTACTCAGTGACAATTATAAATATATTTAGAACAGAAAATGTTTGTTTTAAAAAACAAGGCCTCTTTGATATGGTGCATTTGTCCATTAATATCTGTTCAACATAAACTTAAAAAATTACTCTCCAGCAACAATCATCTGTTGGAATAACCAAGTTGCTATCACTAAAATGAAAATTCAAGCCAGATAAGAGAAGATAAATTCTGCAGCAACATTATAACAAGATACTAACAGATATGAGTAGATTAAAATGTATTTTAAATGGAAAATTTAAAAAACTATTATAACTTTACAACTCAAGTAGAACAGGACTTCAATAAATGCATTTGTAATACATGTTTTGCAAATGGCCAAAAATGGAAATCCCCAATTACATGTTTTCATTACTTCTCATAACCAAAACTTTTAGTAATTAGGTGCTTTTCCTTTTTATACTTTTGTAAATCTGCCAAGGTAACTTGAATGAATATATGAGCCTAAGAATATACAGATATATATTTTTATAGTGAATGCCACATACATTTTACTTTTGTTCAAATCTTAATTTCCCAAGGTCTTAGTTACAGCTAACTTGAGGGCTAAATTTTAAAGCAAGAAAAGAACTCTTGAATTATTCTTGTTTTTCCTTTCTACATCAGAGTTTACTTCCTGAGCTCTGAGAAAGCCTAATCTCAGGGCTGGACAAAAGAAGCCTCGAGTTCTCAGGTATACTTACTGAGGTCCAGTTAAGTGCCTCTTTTAGTACAGGCAACAAATGTAATTGCCTCATGGCCTGCGGGTGTCCCTTTAACAAAAGAGGCTTTAGTGAACCAACCCACAGGTGTTACCTTTCCTGACTGAAGTGAAATCTGATGAAAGAGTCCACAATATCAAATAACACATTTACTAAACTATAATCAAACTCATTTATTTGATTAAGCAAAAACTAATTAAGTAAAACTTCTGACTGCAGAGTAAGATATTTGTATTTCTGACCTTCCAAAAAGCAGAATAATAACAGATTTGATTTTTTAATTAACTCTTTGCCAGATGTTTTAGAATTTACAACCAGCAAAGGTAAGGGTGGGGACTGGCCCTACTATTGCTTATGCCACTTTAATGGTTCTTAAATAACTGAGTGGAAAGGAAATAATAGTTTATTTTTATTAAAGAAACAAAATAACTTTATTAAAGAAAAATAAAGGCAAAGAGAGGGGCAAAGCTTTTGGAATCTTTTTTTAACAAGATTATTTTTTCTGTTGAAAGTATTACATATGTCCCCTTCTCCCCTCCGCCCCCCCCCTCCCCACCGCCCTCTGCCCGGGCCTCCACAAGCCTTCACCACCCACTGTCTATATCCTTGAGTTATGCATATACCCATATGAGTTCATTGGTTGATTTCTCCCCCCACACACACACCCCCTCCAAACCTCCCCTGCCTTCCCTCTGAGGTTTGATAGTCTGTTCGATGTTTCTGTCTCTAGGTCTATTTTTGTTCATCAGTTTATGTTGGTATTAGATTCCACGTATGAGTGAGATCATGTGATAATTATCTTTCTCTGACTGGCTTATTTCACTTAGCATAATGCTCTCTAGGACCATCCATGCTGTTGCAAATGGTAAGAGTTCTTTCTTTTTTACAACTGCATAGTATTCCATTGTATAGATGTACCAAAGTTTAAATCCACTCATCAAGTCTTAACTATTGTAAATTGTGCTGCTATGAACATAGGGGTGCATATATTCTTTTTGATGGGTGTTTCTGAGTTCTTGGGATATATTCCTAGAAGTGGGATCACTGGACACTATTTCTATGCAGTCCTACTCTTTTTCTCCATTTAAATTCTGATTTATTACTATACTATTTTCATCATTCCTGGAGACTATTACTGTCCTTCCCTACTTAAAAATTATGCCACCTTAGGTTCCTAGCCAATTACTGCAAAAGAGGAATTTACTCTACACAAAAGTTACAGTAGGCTACAGCACTGGGAGTTATATTGGGGAATGCTTCTTACTAACAAGTTCTATTTCATTATTCTCCCTGCTGAGTAGGTTTGGAACTTAGTCTAACACTGGACTTGCTCGTTCCCATAGCTATGATAAGCTGAGCTCCTTCATTTTCTTCCTAAGTATTTAATACCATCCAGTCTGAATCAGAATACCTGATGAGTTCTTTAGCATAATGGTTACAAATACAGTCTAAAGTCATAGTTCTGAGTTCAAAGTGTAGCTCTCCTACTATTACTAGTTAAGCACCTTGGACAGGTTATTTAAACTTCATCTATAAACTTCAACTGGCAATAATAAATGCCTTACAGAAATATTCTGAGAACCAAGTGGAATAACACATAAGGCTCCTAGCACCAACTAAGCACTCACTAGTAAATACTAGTACTAGCAATTGTTATAGTTGCCCTAGCTGCTGGTATGAATGATGCCTTCTGGGCTTTTTTCTTTGTTCCTGATTTTCCTATGCAGTCTACTCAGAAATTTGCAAAGTGAACTGTGCTTTGTAATTTATTTCAGTTATATTTTTGTTATTTACACTGTATTCAATTACATAGGTCTGGTAGTAGCCAAGACTGTGAATTGAATGCAATATAATTTAAAATGTACATTAATTGTGAATAGCTGCCATTTTATTTATGTTAAATGATTTGGTGAAATTCAGTTTTAAGACCAAATCAACCAAATGTTAGTACTAAAGACTAACATTTTTATTCTTTTAATAGGAATCTTCATCAAGCAATTTTTATCAAATACCAAATGTACCGGCTCTCCCTTATGGAGCATTCACTTACTCAGAACTGTCTACCAACTAGTCAGAAGGTTAGAGGAAGGGGACTAGGGCTGGAGATGAAGCCAGTAATTATGTCCTCTCATACTAGCCATCTGAATCTACTGCCCCATTCCTACAGAATTTTTTCTCTACACAATGGATTATTTTGCTTTCTGATTTCTTGTTCTATTTATAAAACAATGTTATATCTGCTGTTTTTAGATTAGTATTTAAAAGAAGTGTCTTTTATAGTCTCATTTCAAGACTATCTCTGTATTTCCATTGTAATATAAACTGATGTATAATCTGGTTCTCATATTCTAAAAGACCTAACTTAATGAAATACTAGGTTTTACATATAGTAGAATCATGCTAAGCGTATAAATAATGAGTTTTCCCATGCATGCCTGCTTTTATATGTTATTTCTCTTTTCTATTCTTATTTTAGGTAGAGAATAGTTTAGTAGCATGAAAATGCTTTTATGTACTAAGATTAAATGGGTCACAGAAACCTATAGAATTTTAATTACCCAAAGTGGTAACACAGAACTTCATTTAGTTGCTTATTTCAAAAGACCTCTGAACACATTATATCTACTCAACAGTAGCTGTCCAGCAGACCAATACATCATTAGGAAGCTACATGACATTTGGAATATATTCTCTTTACTCCCAGTTATCAGAGTTAGAGTCTGCTTCACTTGCTAACATTGAACATCAGCGTTACAATTTCTGTCTCAATTTTTCCCAATTACTTTTAGGCAACCTTAAAGTATAGAGATCTCATAACTTGCAGGTAAAAGTACATATAATATTTGCATTTTACACAACTGCCTCCCTGTATTCACTCCAATAGAAGGTCTTTCCAACTTTGAGCTGGAAACTCAAACCAAATGTGAGTAGTTAAAATATTTTTAGATGAGCAAAACACATTAGTTTCAGGAAGACGTGCTAATCTCTCAGTAAAAACATTGATCTTCATGTATACATACACATATGTATATATACTCAAACATGTAAGATAAAAAACAATTTTATAAAATAAAATTCTATAAACTACATATTGTTGAAGGTCAAATTATTCTGAAAACGTTCAGAGAACATCAGAAAATGCTTAAGTTGTGGAGGCTTCAGAGATGATACTTTAGTGTTAACGTCAGAAGAAAAACACCTCAGAATTGTAAACAAGAAGTCAAATTTATCTTCAGAATCGTGTTAACTATAGGATGAAAAAGTCACGTAATCTCCGCAGTGAACTTCACTTTAGCAAAGAGTAAACATATTTCCTCCACATCAGCTGCAATCAAGACATTAGCAGTATGCCATGACTGATGAACGTGGGAGCCGTTGCTGAGAAATGGATGTGTGGCACAGGTTTTTATCACTACAGTCTGCAAAAAGCAAGTCCCTTGTTTAGCTATCCTTGTAATAAGTGACATTATTAGGTAGTTCTTCTACTTAAGTGACATAAGGATTTAGTGTATCAGCAGCTTATAATAAACAAGCTTCCAATCTCCTGATTCCTCTCCCTACACAGAAGTACTTTTTCTGTTTATAATATAAGTGGTAATAGCAGGCCATATGGTTGTGACTTTTAGCTGAAGTAAATGACATTTAAACAAACAGAAAAACAGCATTAAGATATTCAAGGATTTGAACTATAACCTAAATACACAGTGCACATTAAGGGGCTATTAGTATTAACTATATAAAGTGGCCATTTTATTTTTTTAAATTAAATTTATTGGAGTGACATTGGTTAATTAAATAAGTTTCAGGTGTACAATTCTATAAATACATCATCTGTACATTGTATTGTATATTCACCACCCCAAATCAAGTCTCCTTCCATCACCATTTATCCACCCCAGTGACCATTTTCTAATGCTGTCAAATTAGCTTGTTTTTCACTTTGTTAATCGGTTTTATTTAAATATTTTCAAATACATTATAAATCAGCTTTATTACTGGCATATTGTTCCATTTCCAAGTGTTCCTTTTCAGAACTCTCTACTACCTGTGCATCCTGGGAACATTTAATCAGTTTTTTCTGAAATGTGAAACTATATTTCTTACAATTCCACCAATAACAATAATGATCTTGTTAGCATACTCTATAATACAAAAAATGTAAGAAATACTACATTCCTTATTCATGTACCATCATTCTGTGGTAACAGACTAACATTTGGTAAATAATATTTCACCTTTTGCCAAAACCGATTTGGCTCAGTGGATAGAGCGTTGGCCTGCAGACTGAAAAGTCCTAGGTTTGATTCCGGTCAAGGGCATGTACCTTAGTTGTGGGCACATCCCCAGTAGGAGTTGTGCAGGAGGCAGCTGGTCGATGTTTCTCTCTCATCGATGTTTCTAACTCTCTATCCCTCTCCCTTCCTCTCTGTAAAAAATCAATAAAATATATTTTAAAAAAAATTTCACCTTTTGTGTATAACACTGGAATATATGGTATCAAGAACCAAAAAGCTTTAAGTAGTCTGAATTTTGATAGATTGATAATAAAAGTAAAAATATACACTCTAATAACTACAAACATGTTTCCTTTAACAATAGCAAAAGATTATTATGATTTAACTATAGGAACATACTGAAATCTTCATAATCATATTTCTATTAGTGTTTCCATTTTCAATACAGAGTGGCTGCTATGGTTGAGAAACTGAAATTCAATAAAATTTTAATTTTGGAAGATTTAAAAATCAATTATTCATTTTACAGTGAACAACCACTTAAAGTTAATACTCAAAGGAGCAATTTACCAACTACAAGGAACAACTTTACCCACTGTTAATTTGCCAACCAATAAAGGATCAAAATAACAAAATACCTGTGTAGTAGTAAATAATGTCCAAAAGGCACATGCATTTCTACTGAAATGTAGACAACTCTTATTAGCTCACAGTGTAATTAGTAGGTGCTGCATTTTGCAAGGGCAACTTGGCCTTCATCATAACAAAACCACCATAGCATTTCTGACAACCAAACCTTCCCTTAAAATAAGAGCAAGGTCATACCGTGTTCATGGATTGGTAGAATCAACATCATTAAAATGTCCATGCTACCCAAAGCAATCTATAAATTCAACGCACTTCCCATTAAAATACCAATGGCATACTTCACAGATCTAGAACGAACTCTCCAAAAATTCATCTGGAATAAAAAAAGACCCCGAATAGCTGCAGCAATCCTGAAAAAGAACAAAGTAG